AAAGCCCATTAGCCACCCCTTTGGGTGCGCCCTTGAGCCTGCACACGCAAAATGTATAGATAGTTGGCCAAGGTATAACGAGCAATTTCGGCAGAAAGGACTCAGACAGACGTTTAACGTGTTTTCGAAAAGTTTTGTGGTAAAAACTAACAGCAAACAAAGCAAGCTCAGATCCTTCTTATAATATATGTTATGTCATATATACATCGTGTACTGTTATGGATATTATCTGATTTTTTTAGCACGCAAATTTATGATGTAAACTCTTTGATGAATGTATTGATTTAGCATCAATAAAGTTATTTGTTTTTGTATCAATCATGGTCTTTTGCAGCAGTTATAAGTTATAACTTTGAGAGTGATTTTTAGTATAGCAAATCGCATCTAGTCCGTACGATGGGTGTAATAAAGTAAAAATTTCAAGGGAGTACTTTTAAAAATTGGAGGAAAACAGGAATTATTGCGACAATCTATAGTTTTCGAAAAAATCAGTTTTGTGTTTTTTGCGTCATTCAAAAATGAATAACTGTAGATATTTGAATTTTTTACATTTAAAAATATGCCTGGTATTTACAGATATTTTAATTGTTATTGTGTGTAAAAAGTAATCAAATGTTTCATAAAAAATTCCTTATGTTTTTACTACGTCAATCAAAATGTATCGAATATATATAAGCACAACATTTTTTAATAAGCGTTTAAAGTTCAAATCTCCACACAATTCGTCACAATCTTCTATAGTATAAAAATAACTAGAATCTACACAGAAAACGACTATTTACAATTTTAATTAAATTATTTTAAACAGATAAAATATCAAATAGATATTTCCATTTCCATTATTGTATTAGGTAACAACAATACATTTGTACAAAAAATTGAGTATACACAAACAAAATATAAATCAAATATTTGAAGAAAAAAAAAATATATCACCGTCAAAAAATTATTAATTATTCCAGTAGACACTCTATTTTAAATTGAATATATATATATATAATTCCACATTTTTATGCAAAAAAATTTTTTTTTAGGACATTTTCAGAATCACGATGAAATACAAAATTATCAAACTTTCAAAATTCTCCTAATAGCTAATAATTAGTCAAATAATACTTAAATAAATTTAATAAAACTGTTAAATTAGTACAATTTATTTTAAAATATTAACTGAAAAAACAATTGAAGGATGGAAACTTTTTTTTTTGTGTAGTAATAAAATATAAATTACTATATCTACCCGCATAATATATTATATAAAAAGTAACACGTTACCCGGTATTTTACCTCTACAATGAAAATATATGAATCATAAATATAATTTTGTCAATAAGTAAAAACCAACTGAAAAAAACGTATATCTAGCCCAAAAACATATTAATGTTAAAACTTTATTTATTTCCAGGAAAGTAAGAATCATCATCAATATAAGTTATTATAAATATCCAGCTTACCGATATTACACTTGTGATCTGCATGGTTCTTGATGCGGACTGAATATCGCACTGGACCGATGTGCAGAAATCGTAAAAAGTATATTTCCCACACCTTCCGGTTCCCGTCATGCTGCTTGCTATATCATGCTAATAAAATAAACATAATAATATTAAGCTTCAGTGAAAGTGGTTTAAATTTCTCTCTCCGTATTCTCTTTTCTTCCTCGTAATATCATCTACATCGTGTACGTTAACGGTATTATAAATCGTTTATGCAATCATGTAAAGTATAGTATACTTTTAATGCATGCGATTAATTATTACAATAATAACCGACTCGCATGTATTACAGTGCACAACATAAAGCATACAATACAAAATATATAGAGTATATATAACTACAAGCATCATTATTTAACAATTATTATTTGTCCGTACATGTGCACCACAATAAACTATGACGCGGAACGTGATTAGCGAAAAATACATATACTATAATAATATAATATATTATATATGATACCTACTTTCGGTGATTTATTTTTAAAATTCCTCTCTAACTTACACAGCGATCGTAGGCGTTTAAAAACAGGATGTATTCTTTAAACGGTCAACATCACCCATCTTGCCTACATACTTACGCAATAAGCCATATTACGTATAATTTTACCGAGTATAATGATATATTATAATAGAAATAACTGTATAGGACTGACAATTACATGCTCTTTTCAATACTTCTAAAAAAATTTAAAATTAATTCTAATATATAATTTCAAATTAAACGATTAGTTGTCTATATTTTAAAATGTACCTACTGCAAATTAATATAAACTTTTAATAAAAATGGCTGTGGTACCTATAGGCTATAATACTTTAGATATTTCAATATTTCTGCAGTATATTTTGAAATTCACTCCGTCTGAAAATCAAACAAAATTATTCGGGTTGCACTATTTTACAGCCTGCTGAATGCTTAATCTTGAACAATTACTATGCGATTCTCAATTTTTTGAATTGAAAACGTCTTATAAAGTTACAAAATCCTAAAACATGCACTAAAAATGTAAAAATTCGAAATACGCAAAATAAAAATATATCGTTAAGTTATGAAACAAATTTTCGAAAAATCTAGCAATCTTTTGACTAACTGCATTGGACATATTAAAATCCACAAAAATGCTGGTCCAAGTAATAAGTACCTATTAACTATAATAATAATAAATATTATACCATATTATAATATTATAGCTTCATTTGCTTCAATGACGAATATAATAATTCCGATGTCGGCGTTTCGGGTATGCAATTTTGGTACACAATCATTTCAATTAGGGGTTGTTTTGAGCATTTTGACGATATATTGATCTGTAACGCCTATACAACAACGAAACTCGTCTGTTAAATTAAAAAAATTGGTACTATACTTTTCATTGTTCGAATTCACAGCTAGTGTTGTCCTTTTGTCGATTGTCGACGTCCTAGAAACTGTTTAAATCGTTCGTAAAAACGATCACCTTTTTCAAAATAATTAATAACTGGTAGCAGTAGGTTAAAGGTAGTTAGTACCTAACCTTTTAATTTTTGTACTACCATATTACTGTTATTCATAATTTTTTAGAAAATAAAAACTTTTGGTTACTCATGTTTCACCAATAATAATATACGCTAACTTACTATAATAGCATTTGAAAGTATAGCGTACTAAATTATAATATAAATATAACGAACTAATATACGAATATTCTTAAAAACTATATTTTTGCAATATTACATAAAATATATTATCATAATTATAATAGATAAAAAAAATTTCAGATAAAACATGAAAGTGGGACCAGTGGGTACCTACCTACGTATGAATAATTTAAATTTTGATAAATAAGGATATTTCACATTTTAATACACACTAATTCAAAACATAAAATTGTTATGTAACGAAAATAAACCGAAATTTAAGAGTTTTAAATTAGGTGGTTACAACCTGGTTTAATAGAATATAGTGGGGTGGGTGGGGGAGGGGGAATGTAGAAACTCCGCAGTGCACTAATACGGTTGCGTAGGCCAGCGTAGGTACATCACCGTCAGCGATGTGGGTTTTCGGGAGTATATCTACTCAAAGATTTTCTCCTATTGGCTATATTATATTATTATGACTACAACACTAATAGCAAGTCACATCCACGATAAACACATTTAGAAACTTCCACACAAAACCAGACAATCTAAGAAAATAAACAAATATGGTTATTGGATTACCTAATTTAAGGAACTGCAAATGACCATATACCTACCCAGGATGTAACTATAGCTTGAAACAAATAATACTTATGTTCAGCTTGGTCCACCGCCATGATTTCTAGTTTCCCAATAACCGTCGTGAGTCGTGACACATAGTCGAACGTCGACATCTCGACGAACCACACTATTTTTTAACCAAAATAATTGCAATTTCAGCTTTACGACTAATTATAGTTATAATTATTATATTATTATTATGATTATAGTTATTGTGAGCGCATATTAGTCATAAGTATAGGGAACAGATTAGAATGTAAATTTGAAAACATTGCTTTCCAAGCATAAAATTGGTAACTTTGGTTTTTTTTTTAAACATTTAAATCAGTTAAATTTTTTTTTAAACATCTGGTGATAGAAATAACAACCTTTCATTTAAAAACCAAAAAAGACTTCAAGAGATGACCTCATTTTACTTTTATGATAAGCGTGGCTTTCATCAGTTGAATACATCTTAGAGAAAATAATTAAATTTTGCTTCGATCTTGAGCCGACAAATTCAATTTTTTAGCACACATTTCCCATTAAAATAATTTCATAACCAGATTAAGCCATTTTTGGGATATGGTGGCCTATAAAAATATTAGTCACAACATTTAAACACTTTTAAGGAGTAGAGAAAATGTTAACATGGATATTCGGTGAAATTGTTATGTATTTATGTATATTGTAAATATATATTTGTAATTATGCCATGAATCAAAATTGATTTTGTCAAAACTGGATTTGCGTAAAAATTCCAGTTTTATTTATTTTTTTTCAACGCTTTTTTCCAAAACTTCAGTGAGTATTTTATTTTGACCTTTTCAAAGTACCAAATATTTAAATTAAAGCATTATTTCGACCACATAACATACAGGTATACTCAAAAGAAAACATTAAAAAATCAATAATTTATTCCAGACAAAAACAATGTAATATATTATAAATTTTAGTTTAGAAGTGAAAAATGAGATCACACAAATGTATTATAAAATATATATATAACAATAAATAAAGTATTAATTAAGTAAAAAACTAGAGTAACTTGCTACAAATAATCATTGGTACAAATAAATTAATATAACACAATTTCATAATTTTCAAACATTTAGGATTCAATTGCCAAACAATAAATATAAAATTTTGATAGTAATAAACTAATAAGTATAAATAACATGTACTGTTTTTTTTTTCATAACTTCTAGTACCTGAAAAAAAATGTTTAACACATTTTATTATCACCAATAAACTTTAGTTATAAAAATATTTTTAGTTTAAAATTTATTATATTAAATGGTTTTTTCATTTTAAACTTATATTTACAATATATATATATGAATGCTAAATGCTAAATGAGTTTTTATAATACTAGAACCTATTTAATTTTAAATTGTAATACATTTTATAAACTAATAAATATATCATCAGTTATCATCAGACCTTTTTAATTAACACCAATCTTGTAAATAGTTTATAATCTATAATTTGTTTATGTAAATACTGTATTCTAAGAAATTGTTAAACTTAAAACTCCAAGGCTGAGGCTTATTTATTTAAATGAGAAAAAAATATAAATAGTAGTAACATTGTAGCTTAAACTTGAATCTTAATCAACATTTACTATTATAATTGTGGCAATTTTATTTCTTGAAATTAATATAACATTGTATTGTACAATGATAAAACTAAATGAAAACATTAATAAGTATCTAATGACAGAATACATCTTAAAGACTAAAATATAATAAAACTGTTGTTCATATGGGTGGATTTGAATGGCACTTCACAATGTAAAAAGCATAATAAAAAAAAATAATACATTCTTATTGATCACCATTTATAACTAATTTTCAAAAACATTCATTAAATTAAAATAAAAAAATTGCTTGAGTAAAAAATATTATCAAAGAAAATTTTTATTACCCTATTAAATTCAATATTAATTCACTTTCAGCAAAACTTTTTGCACTATCAAAGGATAATATGACATTTTTCAACTGTTCCAGATTTGAAAAACCATTATTATGTAGAATTGTGTTAGTTTTTTTATAATGCACTGACGTAAGCATTTTATCCAATACATAATGTAGCCAGTATATATTTGTGGCTGGTTTAAACAATTCCCATTGATCACTATATGAAAAAAAATTAAAATTTAATTGTTTAAGATACTAAAATACAAACACAGTACTTACTTAGTTTCTTTTCTCATCATACGATAAATGTCGAATTGGTAGTCACCCACTGAAGTAAATAATTCTGTATCTTTAGCAAGATCATTATATATATGATTGGAATTATATGTCATTCTGCTTAAGGTGTAATCAATTATTGTTATCTATAAAAATAAATGAATAGTTTATTTAATTGTAATCAGAGATTTTGAATTTGACAGTATCAAATGTAGTAGAATATACAATTTTCTTAATTAAATTTATGATAGAACAGGGGGAAAAAAGTGGTGTTGCTCTATTTCAATTGTTTAAATTTTCATGGATAGAAATTTAAACTAATTTATAAATTCAAAGGTCAAAAATGGACTTCTACAGTTGATGATGTATATTATGACAATAATCTATAAGTAATGTTCAAACAATTAAATTAGTATTTCAATGCTGTAAATTGTAATATGTTTTATTGTTGACCGATACTAGTATTCATTAAATTCTAAGTGTTATATATTGGACTCTAAGATTTCTTTTTCATTATTTTATTTATTAAAATAATAATATTTATAGTTATGGTTTTCTGTATCATCTAAGAATAAGTTTGTACAAACAATGACAGTATGGTACATACCTTAATTCCCCGCGATGGTAAATTAAAATGTTCACCACCCAATTCATAAGCTATTTTCTTGTTTGAACATTTTTTTACTAAAATGTTACCAATATGTAAATCACGGTGTTCAAACTTGTATGCTTCTTCAGCAACAGCTAACCCAAAAACAATCTAAAAAACAATACACTTTATTATATAAGTTTAAATTAACCTATAAATCACAAAATGGATATAATAGAGGGTTAATTATTATATATTTTATTCATGATATAAATAAAACCCACTGATTCTCCATATTGGATACTCGGGGATGTATTTACTTAAAATGCTACTTATATTACAATACTCATTAATTAATATTATTAATATTTTGATCATCATAAAATTATAAATATATTTAGTCATTTATGAATAAATAAGTTGTAAAGTTTAGTACAAATTGAAATGATACCATAATAATATTTTTTTTATGATTTAAATAGAATTTAATGAAAAATAACACATTTGTTATTACATACCTGTAAAAATGCAAATAATGATTGGTCTGCAGAGTTGAAAATAAAATTTTCTACATCAGTACCACCATTTTCCATTTCCAAAATCATAAACTTTTGATCATTTGGCAGTATGTTAGGATTATCGTTATCAGAACCTAATTAATAACATGAAATTAACAAATTATTGAATAACTTAAAAGTTATTTCAATAAATACATTTAAATAAGTTGTCTTTATTTTTAAGTAATATAATATTATATGTAAATATACTTTTTAAATTTAAAAGGTATTTATATTATAGTAAAATTAATATTGAAAATAAATATAGTAAATAATTTATTTTATACAAAATACTATTCATTTTAATGGGATGTCATCCATTTGGTCTCTATACTCTATTCCCCGTAAGTTGACCCACTTGCGCGCATGCATACTGAGCCGCCGAAACGTTCAGACCCCCCATGTCGGAGACAGGTGGCTTGTGATTGGTCAGTGGTGTTCGGCAATCGGCGGTGTTCGTCGTAGTAGTCAGCTGCCGCCGTGCATACAGAATGTTATACAAAATAATTGATACGAATTATAGCAATATAATAGCGCGCGTTCACGGAGATAGTGTCGATACGTCGTGAAAATAATCAAATCACTAGGTATACGCCAGGTGCGGTGGTAACGATAAACACTAGCGCTCCAACGACGCGGTGGCCTGCGCAGCTACGACCGGTTTTCGTCGAGCAAGTGGGTCAACTTATGGCGAATAGAGTATAAATGTTTGCAACCTCCAGAATTATAGCTTATTATGTCATCAAACAAACAAATATTATATTAACATAAACCTTAAAATACCTTTATCTTTGTCATATTGATGCCAGTAATTAATCAAAATACTAGGATATTTTCCTTGAACACAGGAAACACGTTTGAGTTTACAAAATGAGCTTGTATAATTCAAATTAGATTTGTTCCACAACTTATTCAACTCTGTAGCTATTACAATTTCACTGTAGACTTCGAACATTTTCTTCTGTTGCTCACTATTAATATTCACTTCACCTTCTATAGGAATGATTTTAACAATAGTACATCGATTTCCACTTGAGTAGCTAAATACTTCGCCATATACACCTTCTCCAACCTTTTTCCATTTATTTATACACCTTAAACAAATAAGAGGTTATAATAATAGACAATAAAACTAACATTATACATACTTAGGGTTTAACCACGATTCAAAAGATATAAATTCTCGTTGATGACACACTTCAAAAATGTAACTTCTGGCTTTCTGATCTTCAAGATCTACATCACACAAATTTAAATTTAACAAGCTTACATTTTCTAATACTTTAACTATTTATTACTTTTAAGTTTTGAAAACATGTGTTTTTTGTGTTTACACCTCTTCAAATTGTGCCTATTTTTTTTTTTTTTTTAATAAAAATTTAATTGGATATCTGATTAAATGATTAAAATTTTCATTTCTTAATTACAGATTTAATTCATAAAGCATAGGAAAATTACTTATAGAAAGAATATCTTCTTAGTCAAGTATAATTTATAAATTACACTAACATGAATACAACTAAAATAAAGATTTTAATTACCAGTAGAAGTTATTTGCAGGTTTTGGCTGGAACTGCACGTTAAATTTTTCAAAATATTTCTTTGATCTAAATTTTGATAAATACTAGTATCTATAAACAATAAAAATATATTACAAATAATTTTTATTTTACTTTTCATTATGATTAAAAATTTTAACTAAAAAATTATTAAGAAAATGTCATTAGGATGTTCTTAAAGTTAGAATATTTTGTAAGCCTAGTACAATAAATAAATTGCATTTATGCTGGGTCTACACAGACATTTATAGTCTCTGTCATATTAGTGCATAACATAACAAATTATAAACTCAGTAGATCAAATTTATTTCTGTTAATTTAAAAATTAGAGTGAATTGACTTCTCATAAAATTTAAATTCAAGATTATAATATTTCAATTTTAAAGTGAGTTATGAATATTTTAATATGTATAATCAATTTACAATTCTAAAATAGACATAATTCATTTTAAACTTAAAATATAATGGAAAACTTAGATGATAATCTTCACTTAAAACTTTTAAAAGATCCATTTACTTTAATTTTTAAACTATCAGAACTAAGCATGAGTCTGCTGAACATAAAATTTGGTATGTTACACACTTGTACGACAGAGATAACAAACGTCTGTGTAACATCTAGTTGACATGAATACAACTAAAATAAACATTTATTTACCAACAAAAGTTCTATGCATGTATTTTTGGCTGGAACTGGAAATTGAATTTTTGAAAACATTGCTTTGATCAAAATTTTGATGATTACTAGTACCTGAAAACAACAAAACATAATAGGATTTACACTTTTCAGTATTGGAAAACCAATTTAATTTTCTAAACATTACTTATAGATTGCCGTCTTAATACATCATCAACTGTATAAGCCCATTTTCGTCCTTTGGTGAAATTTATAGATTCGTTCATATTTCTATCCATAAAACTTCGAACAATTGACATAGAGCGACGCCATTTTTTACCCGGTTCTAAATGAAAAACTATTGAGTTTTCCTCGGTGAAGTTGGTCTCTAATTGACTAGACTCATCAATGACATCCAAACTCTGAAAACGAGTAGCATATCTCTTTCGTCGCGGCATAAATACAGACAAATTTGACTCATTGATTTCTATGTCATTTGATACACTATCCGAAATATTTATTTGATTTTTGGCATTGATTTTTTCTTTACATCGGTTTATCGTTATATGTGATTTTAACTCAATACTTTTGTCATTAAATAAAAGATTATTATAATCAGAACTCTCTTTTGTATGTAATACATCTGAACCCTTTTGTTTGTAAATAACAGTATCTTGTTCCAAACTAGATGAACTTTGTAAAATAGAAGAATTATTTAAAATAATGTCCTGTTTGAGATTTGATGTGTATGTATGATCAAGTTTGCCAAATACACTTTTCTCTTTAATAGATTTATCATACTGCTCAGTTGTGTCATCAATTTTAATATCAGAAAACTTAGTTGTTACATCTAATAAAATCTGTGATTCAGAATCTGGTGGATAACAATTAAATTGTTGTCTCATGTTTTCTAATGGTGTTAAAGAACTTTGATTATTTTGAGCATATGCACTCTGTTTATTATTGTCAATTCGATCTAATATATTTAGCAATCTAAAATCGAGGTCATCAGAAGACGAAACTTTTGAATAGTCTTGCCTTGAGTAGCATAAGTTACTCAAATCTTCTGCTTTTAAGTTATTTTGTATCATGCGAGTTGAATTTTCACACGAAGATGGAGTTTTAAATTGATTAAGTTTAAGTAATTCATAGTCTTCATTGTTGGTTTTAATCGCAAAAGCTTCATCATTTAAACTATTTACAGATATAAAATCAACATTTGGTAACCTACAGTCTTCAATCGATTTACTTTTATCAAGCCGATAACATGATTCATACAAAGAACTTGTGAACGTAGAAAGATGTTTATCATATAATTGACTTGGTTGAGACTCCTCAATAGTGATGATGCTATTATCTATGTTTGATTTAGAATGATCTAAAGACAACATACAATGATTATCATTTTCAGATGAACTTTTATTAGAATGTTGTAAAGATTGAAATGATGTGTTATTTAAATTGGATAATGGTAATGATTGCTTCTGCTGTTCTGATGGATTCAATTGGATAGTTTCATACATTAAAACTGGTTCAAAAGTACACGTGTTTATATTATCCTCTGTAGTTTTAACATTGTGATTTTTCGATTTTTCTAAATTAATAGATTCTTCATCGCAAAAAATATTCATAACTTTTTGATACCAATTTGAGTTTTTTTCTTTTGAGCAGGTTATTTTTTTTTTGTTTAGTTTACATAGTCTACTAGGGCTGTTGGAAATAATTTGGTTATTAGATTTACTATATTCTGAATATTTATTTTTTGATGGTGGAAAATGAGAACTAGATATTAGAACAGACTCATCAAATAAGTTATTATATTCATCATTTGTTTTCCTTGAAATGTTAGAAGTATTTAAATGTGAATATTCTAGTTGCTTGGGAAGTTCTGAAGAATTAATAGTATTGGTGATATGGGCCAAATTTTTCTTTGATTTTGTTTTTTTTTTTTTTTTTGAAGAAATACTCTTGAATTTGTTACCATAGGGAAATAACATAGATTTCTGTAATGGAGTAGAACACTGTTCTTTAGATAAGACAAATTTGTTTTTTAATTTCTTGATCGAGATTGGGGTTACTCCTGCAACAGAAAAAAAAATTATATTAAAAATGTAACAAAAATTTCCTAAATTATTGAATTTTGTATTATTGTGTTTTTATGAATATAAAAATGTTTTAAAATAAAATAGTTCTAGTTCACTATACCAAAATATAATACAATTTTAAAAAACTTTTGAGCAGTGAACACAAAATCAAATATATAATGTAATACCAAAGTTCACTGATATGTAATTAAAATAAAATATCTACTAAAATAAATTGTATCTTTATATTCCCTACTAACGCACATTTTATTTTTCAGTCACTCAGTGATAATGCAATAAAAATACTATTAAAGGAATTTATGTTTAACAGGTTAGTTGCTTGAGTGTTGATAGTGATGTTTTGTAGCAAGTTACTCTGGCTAGTTAAGTATATTTTTATATATTATAATCAACTTTTTTAAATGCTTATAAAAGAATTTTATAATTTATTCTTAACTGCATTTAATAAAATGTATTTGATCTCATACCTTTTGAACTATTTGTGATATTTAAATTTTCCTTTTTTTTTTTAGCACTTTTCAACAAAAGTTTTTTCTTTTTATGATTAGTATCTAAATTGTATTCTGTATATCTGAAACACAAATGCAATTTTTTATTCTATATAATAATAAGTATCTACACTCAAATAATTCAACCTCTTTATTGGCGTATATTATAGGTTGTAATGCAACTAACTATAACCAGTGTCTATATTAAAACAATTAAATTAACAAATAGGTAAAAAAAAACAAGTAATTGATCATAGATATAACTTCTTGTAATGAAACTATGTTATTTTATTACATAAACAAGTAAATTAAAATTATTCTTTTAATTATAAACGTCAAATATTTAGTGTAGATACCTAATTTATTGTTATAATAGTTTTAAAACCAACAATTTGATTTCATATTTATAACGTAACTCACCTCTTTTTTGAACTCAAATTATTTCTATGACCATCTAAAGTAGAATGTAAGTGCATTGACCATCCACCAAAATCAGAATGCTTCTGATTTTCATTTTTTTTTTTTTTTTTAGGCTTGTACATTGTAACTGAACCACTTGGTTCAGGTGAGACAAATGTTGTTTGTGGAACATCCTCAATACCCAAACATTTGTCGAAGTCATCATTTAAATCATCATTCCATAATGAATTTTGTCCTATAAGTTGAGTACGTCTAGGTTTCCCGTAAGTCTTCACAAGTCTTGAAGTATTTGATGTCTGATCCATTCTATTAGTTTTTTAAACTGCTAATAAACAAAAATTAATAAATATGTATTTTTGTCCATTAATACGTTTTAAACTTGATAAAAAAATATGACTCATGTATTGTATATAATTTAAAATGTTAATAATAGTTTTTTGTAGATGATCTATAAAGTAACTGGAAGCATGAGTGAGATTATTTATTATATTTAGACAGGCGAATTTTTACACAAGAATATGGTTAAACTTTTCACCCCTTCAAAGTGCATTTACCAAGCAGTGTCTATACACGGCAGCTAGTATCGACTACCAGTCTGGCATTCTGGTCACATTATGTAATTCGAACTTAACACTAGTTATTGCAGGGCTGTTCTACTGTACTCCGTATCATCACAGAGTATATTTCACATTAAACAGTATTAACCTTTTGCCAGTTATACTCTATCCTATTTATCAGATAACATTTCTGAAAACATTTGAATTTGTCAAAATTTAGTTTTTATGGTTAGGTAATTTATTAACATTTTAAAAAAAATGTAATTTTCAAAAATCTAATTGTAAAAGGTCAAGAAGTCCAATTTCAAATGAGTGACTAAGTAGCAAGTTGTTATTAAGAAAACTTCTTAAAAAAATCAATTATTTTTTCAAAGGTTTTATCTAATAACTACGATAGACGGTACAATTGACATAAAATTTATTTTGGTAGAGTACTGAGACAAGATCAAATCCCTTCAACAAAATAATACTCACAGTAACAATCATAAGAATTAAAAATATCGCATTATGACAATAAAAAGCCAGTAATACCATATATGCATAAAAATACCTATTAAAAACACGTAATTTAACGTTACATTGTTACACTTACCGATTAATCAATCTTTGGACAAGACAAATTACCGTAATTCAAATCAATAAGTGCCTGCGAGTACACCGACTTAGCTTTACGATTGGCGCCTTTTGATAATTGATAGACGACTATAGTGCCTACAGTTTCTATAATTCAATAATTGTATCTACAAATGAGAACAAACAACAATTTAAAATGATAATTTATTGGAATAAAAATAAGAGAAAATGAACTAACGGGTGTGAAACACTTAAATTATTTAAATCTAAATTGAAAAACTAAAATCTTAACGGCAAACAAACACTGATAAGAAACAAATAGTTTACTATTTTATCTGTTATCAATACCACAGATTTAAACGTGTTTTCTTGTAACCGTTTTCGTGGAGGCTTTGATCAATTTATGGTGGAGGTTGTTTACTGATACCATTGATTATAAATACTAGTATTTATAATCAATGCTGATACCTACCATTGTTCTATGCTGAAACCACGATTAAAAATATCTATTTTAATTTTACAAACAACAAAGAATACGAAAAATGTATTATCAAGGGTTAAGAGTCCCAGGAAAAATAAATCATAAAATATAACTTATTTAAAAAAAATGTGTTATGTATTTTACATGATTAATACATTAATAATATTTTAATGGTAATTAGTATGATTTTAATTGTAATTGTATTCAAATTGAACGATAAAAACAAATACATATATAGTCGATAAGCTTAGGCATAAACAGGGTGATTATTTTATCAAACAACACTCTTTATTTCAAAAACTATTGACTTTTTTCAAAACTTTAGAACCATCTTATTCTAGAACTATATATTTTTAAAATATTTTCACTCTTATATTTATCAAGTTAACCATTATCAACTTTTGATTTTCAAATGACAACCTATACTTAAAATTTCATAAACTAAAAAGGCTATTTTTTTCAATGACTTTTCACGTTTAAATTTTCATTTTTCGTTAATCCGTTTAGAAGATATAGCCTCCTAAAGTTGGGTGGTGTTTGATAAAAGAATCACCTTGTATATATTCAACTAATATATTATTATTAATTTATTTATTAAACATAACTATTTACTTGTAGATGAGTCACATACCTAACTACACATATTTATACACAGAATAAAGATAAATTAATGATTCATGGTTACGAGCTGAAAACCGTATTTGTAGAAAGTGAGTTCGATTATTATCTTTAATTTTATGAAAATATTTTGAATTTATGTTGAATGTTGATACACAACAGCAGAGAAAACCCATCATAATAAAGTAAATATTCTGTGCCTACACTGGTAGTCAGAAAAAAAGCCAGGGTAAAAAAATCTACGGAAAAAAAGCCAAGAAAAATAATCCAGGGTAAAAAAAGCCACGGGAAAAATAATCTACAGAAAAATAAGCCATGGAAATAAAAGTCAAATTACAATAATTAAATATACCTATAAGTTTATAACCATTAAAATTAAAATATTAAATTAGGTACCTACAATTTTTCAAAATTGTTTACTCATTATTGGTCAAATAAATAAAAAATAATTATAATTAAATATACAAAAAAAAATAAAATTTAAAGTATTATTCAAATTTTTTAAATTTTTAACACAGTTAATCATACTGTATTGTCCGTATTCATATATAAAAATAAAATTGTTAATATTATAATAAACATTGAATAAAAATAATAGGTATAATATTTTGTGGACATTATGTTTAATTGTTGAAATCAATTGATTTATGTCTTATACCCTATACTACCCTAGATATGTATAATAAGTATTATGTATATACTTTATACAGGATGATTTTTTTTAAATGTACATATAGCAGTATTAAATACATGCTAGATTGAAATAAATTAATTTAAACTTTTTGTTTAATAAAATCAATACATTGATTGCTGTTTAGAATCTAAAATATATTTATTACTATGAATAATAAATAACATATAACCTGTGTATTAATAATTATATACTCGTATATGTATACAATATGACCAATAATATGTAAAAAAATTTTAAATAATACCTAATTTAATACTTCAGTTATAATTGATATATATATATTTAAATTTAATTATTGTAATTTGGCTTTTTTTCCTACATTCGCTTACACAGTACACTATCTACTTATCTTATTAGTTATTACCTATATTATATCTGTTTTGACACAAACTTTATTGTATCATGGAATTTGCCGAGTTTCAACATTCCTCTAATTTGTATTAAGCCAGGTGTAATGCAAAATTATTCATTTTCGGTTTATTTTTATGACTAGATAGTTTTATGTTATGGATTTGCGTATAAAGAAGTGAAATATCCTTTTTTGTCACTATAGTAGTATAGCTACTTTCAATTTCTATCTGATGATACTATATAGGTACATTTAATATTTTATGTAATACTACTATATACTAGCTGAACCCGTGCACTTCGTAGACCGTTAAAAATACCACATCTAATATGTTTCAAACTGTGTGTTAAATTCGTTACCTGTGATAATGCTAGCAATATATATTTTTATACATATATAGATGGATAACTGTTAAAATATACTGAGTAATAGTCTTTCAATTTAGTTTATCATTATTTAATTTTATGCGTTTTATCGAGTAAAGTCTGACAGTTCAAGTACCTATTCAATTGAATGATATTTATTGAAATGCATTTGGATACACAACATTTGTTGCTTTTTCTTCTGGTACGTACTAAAAAAAAATCGGAAGGTTTTCTGACGCGTGAGCATGCAACATACAGCTGAACTGCTGCCAATGTCAGAAGCATGATATAGAAAAGTGCTTCCTTAGGGGGTGGAGTGGTCGAGCGGACTAAGGCGTCGGTTGCGACGCACGCAGTCGCCGGTTGGAATCTCGGTCACGGGCGGCATCGCTCTTTGGGCATTTCGCGATGTCTGGAGAGAGAGGCCGCCGGCCCCCAACCGGGCATGGCAGAAACCCACGGGTGCCCATTCAAAATTCTAACAAAAAAAACCCACGAGTTAAAACCTTACAGTACCTTCCCCTACAGTTCCCCAGGCTAATGACCTCAGTTGTCGAAGCCCTAACCATAAAAAAGTGCTTCCGCTGCGAGAATTTATTTCAAGATTAGCAACTCTAAATATTTTATTTTTTATTGGTTTTTACATAGTTTAGCCTGTACGATTAATATATTCTCAATAATTATAATTGTCTCGATTTGAAAAAATATAGAATAAACAACATATGTCACTTATAAATAGCTGACAGTTACCTAACCTAACCTAACCTACCTATACTTACCAAAAATCATGTCCAAATTAATTATATTGTAACTGTAATGCATATAACTGTTGTCTGTAGTTCATAATAATATTGGCCATTGTGTATGAGACGCATATTTTACCACTGAATCTGGTTTTCAATTTTTAATTTGGTGTTATATTGAGCGATTCAAATATAAACTGACACGTATTTAAGTAAAAGCATAATTATTAACAATAATCTTTAATGTTTAATTATATTCATTATAATCAATTTTTTTTTTGTCCCACACGTTTGCTTTTATATTTTTTTGATCAATTATTATGAATTTATGTTATTATATGACTTAGATTAGGTACTCACTTGTACGAGTATACTATTGGGCAATTTGCCCGTTTTATTCATTGAATTAGCATATTAGTATTATAGTTGCATACATTGTAATGTTACCTCCACATGACTTGCTGGATCCATCTTACTAACATATAATTTACAGTTTTCAGCTGTTCAACATAAACATTTAAGGTTTGTTATTTTTAATCTTCGTGGGAGTTGACTTATGGCTTTATAACCAAAATTTAAAGGTAATTATATAATTTTGTAATACTTTTGTTGTCTTTTTTTTTTTATTTAGTTTTAAAGTTTCAAGCATTAAACATGTATAAGATATTACAATAAATTATCATAATAAATTACAGTACCCGACAAATATTTATAATTTTCCAGTTTTTATACAAAATTGTTGAACATTATTATTATTATTTATTAAAAACAAACTATATTACCTCAACGTCAATGCGATGCTAATTTTTTTTCATATGTATTATACTTGGTTGTATGACTGAGGAGGGATTTTTATACCTTACCCGATTATACTGTACTATAAGTGTTGCAAATTATATGGCTGCGTTTGGCGTCTTAAAAAAATTAAAAATATACCACACAAAGCTAGGTAACACACGGGTTCTTAATGGCAAAAGAAGCGTCTCCAATATAATGTAGGTACCACATGTGGAACCCAAAACACAAACAATATTTTAACGAACTGCCTCAAATACGAAAACACAAGAAAGAAAGTCATTTACTAGAACATGTCTTCAAAGTCCTATGAAATCATGCAGAAATTAACAACAATGAAATAAATTAGATTTATATAAATTAATTTGAAAATATATTTAAGTATATGATTGAAATCAAAAAATGTAAACATACTTTACTTACGCTTATTACCTACTTTTGTTGTGAAAATGATTGATTGATAAAAAAGCAGATGTCCGTGTACAAAGCGACTTCAGCCTAGCTACAGCATTAAGGTCGCCACAAACTGCAGCAGTGGCGGTAAAATTCTTTTGTCTTGGCGGTGCCGGTAAAATTGAGTCCGGCTTCATTTTGTCGTAACCGCCACCGCTACCGTTGCAAATACCGCGACCTTTAATTTTTTATATTTCAGTAGCAGTCTAAAAATAAGTTGTTAAGTATATGAAATATAAAAATAACAGATCTAGACAATTAATATTTAGAATCTAAATAATAATATAACTAATTTCTTTTTTCGTATGTTTTATAGGAACGGGAATATTAATTGAATGTTTTATATGAAAAAGCCCAAATCCACAATTTCTTCGTCATATGTCTATATACATATTAAGGGTTAAAATGCACGGACAACGTCATGCAAGAACCAGATAGTAATAGCATATAAAATATCTGTATATATGAACTACATACTATATAATTATGTGTATAAAATAAAATATTTTAAAAATGACTAAACAATTATATAATTTAGCATTTAATGCCAAGAATCTAGATACTTTATTTAGAAAGGAACGAGGCTACTGCAGGATAAATTATACGAACTTTGTCCGTATAATATAGTAGGTACCGCGTGTATAGCAATAATAAACATATTTTTTTGAAATTGTAAATAAAAAATAAACCGCAGACAATTAATTACAACCTTTATTGAATTACGAATAATTACAAAACAATCAAAATGGGTTAATAATATTCGCTAAGATAAATATCATTTATTATAACCAAGAGAGAAAGCAA